CAAGAGTTCCCTAGAGCACTTTTATATCAACTTGACCCAGCATTACCTCTGGTATTTGCTTCCGCAAATCATTTAAAACACATAACTGTTGTCTTTGTTTTCGAGTTTATAGTCAGAGTGGTTTGAAAACTCTTGGCGCCTAACATAAAACCCAGAAATAAATATGGAACATATTAACACTGAATATAGGTTGTGATGAATCACAGTTTGTCAGCTTTCAAGTATTACAATTATCTACCTAAAAATACCCTACTGTACTCAGTCACCTTCCCTAGCTGTTTACCCCTGCTTGTCACTGTAACTTCTAATGCTGTTATACATTTGTTTTTAGGTTGTAATGTTAGCACCCTTCAATATTTTTTACTTAACCGTTATCTTTTAGTTACCATATGTTTATCTTTTGAGATGAATACAGTAGTTCACTAATCACACTAATTGAAGGTGGGCATTGCTAGCATTACTGAGATTTATAGATTAGTCATTGTGGGAAGGAAGGAGAATTTATGGTAGCTGGATTATATTAGTGCTGGCTAATTGAAGAGGAAAAAAAGTTAATGCAGACTTTGATCCTGGACTCAGACTCGTAGGAGTAACTATCAAATGACACCAAATTCCTGCTGTTTAGTGCTAAATGTCTGAAGCACACCTGTGTGTTTCATTAGCACATCTATGCGGTTATTGGAGAGCTCTATTATTATGTTTATTCATAAATGCCCTGAATTATATTTGTAGAAAAGCCACCATTTTTTCTTCCAGAATTAACCTGTATTTGTGTTCATGTGTGCGTGTATGTTCGCCTGTAACAATAGGGGTGTGATAAAATTCAGAATTAAAACTCTAAAATTGAACTGTTTTTAGCATTGAGACCAGCATTTGATAAAGTAAGCAAGCTGAATAAAAAGACAAATAAGTGCAGTTTGAGTGAAAAAAAAAAAAAGTATATACAGAGAGAAAGCAGCAGCCTAAGGTACACAGATGGATTGGTTTACTTGGAGCTTTTCTTGCAATTCTGAGTGAAACAGAAATTAACGTAAAGAATTATACCTTTTTTTTCACTTCTCAAAGACTAAGTTAGGTATTGTATTGAAAACTGTTAAATTCAAACAGAGATGAAGAGTGAATATTTTATCAAGTCATATGGATTGATGAGGCAAAAGTATTTCCTTTCCACCAACCCCATATCTATTCTGTAAGCAAGACAAGATAATGTATGTGTATCAATTAATAGTATGTCAGACACAGTCTTACCTGATTTAAGTGTTATGAATAATTTTTCTGTCATAAATTTTCACATTTTGTCTTCATTTTGATAAGAAAAAAATCATGAAAATTTATAATCACATAATCTCTGTTTTAAAATGTTTTAAAAAGCATAGGGTTTTCTTGGACAAATATGGTTTGGTGTAGATGTGGTAGCTGGGCAAATTAAAGGAACAAAACAGCTTGTTCTTGCTTGTATAAATATTTTCCCTCTGGCCCATTTGCTTTTTGTCGCTCTTCCTATTTATTGCTCTATCTATTCTGTCTGGACTCAGACCTATCCTGATATGCCCTTGAAAATGTGAACAGATAAGAGTTGTAACCAAGGGCTGCAGGAACTGTCTGACTTACTCCTGTCCTGTCAAAGCCATGACTAAAAGTTTAAAATAGATTCTGTGAACACAATTTCAAAATCTCCCTCTCATGATTTTGGCTTTTTTTTTTCTAAAATATTATTGACATAGAAATTTTCTTGAAGTAATCTTTCATTGGGAGCACCAAAAAATCAAAACTGAAAATATGAACTATTTGAAAAGTTAATCATGGCTGTTTATGCTGGAAGCTGACCAGGTAACTTCTCCAGTTCACATCTCAGAAAGAAAATACTGAGAAATCCCAGTGACTGTATCCTTTGGGTGCTAATAGAACAGTTTTAAATGTGAAGAAAAGGAAATTGTGAGGGATGGTTACAAGGCACTAACTTGACGACTGTAAAGTGTGAGTAAAAGGGTTCTGTACCTGTGGATTAGTTAACCAGCTGCCTCCCTATACCACTTAAAGCAAAAACAATCAACAGAAAGGCAATAAAATGCCCACACAAAAGCAGAATGTTTAGTTCAGTTCTTCCTTTTGGAAACAGTAAGTTAGAACAATTAACAGTATTATGTTGAGAAAGAAAATAGAGCTTCCTCTATGGAACCTGCCCTAGATTTTTGTGTTTTTGTGTTGGAATTAAGCACGCAAACAGCTGAGTTTAGAGAATGATCTGGTAGATGAGAGAAATTTTGGAAGATTGTTTACAGCTTTGGGGAATAAAGTACCTTCTGCTAACTACTCTTCTATTCAGTGCTACATCTATTTTGTAAAAGTGATTGCGAATAGGAAGCCCTGTAAAGCCCACTTTTGCTAAAGAGGGTTGTGTGTACAGTGGAATTAGAAGTCACTCCCCAAGTCCTTTTTGCAGTTGTCTTAATCATCAGATGAACAGTGGTGTGATCCAATGGTTCACAGTCAGGAAGACTAAAATATTAACTTTCTGTCACTGTCCAGCTCTGCTGTTGAACTCTGGGAATCTGGAAGAGCTTATGAAGAGGTATCACTCTCTGGCTTACCTCTTTGGTCTCACCAGCTTGTGGTCGGTGCTTTCTTGTTAGCCAGTGTAACGGTTGGCTTTTCTGTCTCAATTTACCTGTGTAGACTTAACAGAGGCAAGCACTTTTCAAAGTCAAACTAATGGAGACCAGTGTCTTAGTCCATTTTCTGCTGTTATGCCAGAATGCCACAGAATAGGTGATTTATAAAGAATAGAAATGAATTTGGCTCACAGTTCTGTAGATGGAAATTTTATTTTTAATTTTTAAAATTTAATTTTTTCAAGGTAGAGTCTTACTCTGTCACCCAGGCTGTAGTGTACTGGTACAATCACAGCTCACTGTGGCCTCAACCTCCCAGGCTGAAGCAATTCTCCCACCTTAGAATCCTGAGTAACTGAAACCACAGGTGCACGCCACCATGCCCATCTAATTTTTGTATTTTTTTGTAGACACAGGGTTTTGCCACATTTCCCAGGCTGGTTTGACACTCCTGGGCTCAAGCAGTTTGCCTTCCTTGGCCTCCCAAAGTGCTGGGATTATAGTCATGAGCCACCACACCTGGCCAGAGGTGGAAATTTTAAGATTAAGGGGCCAGACCTAGTGAGGGCCTTCTTGCTGCATCATAGCATCGCAGAAGGCATCACATGGTGAGAGAAGGTGAGAGTACATAAGACAGAGAGGGAAAATAGGGGCCAAACTCCTGTGATAATGGCATCAATCCATTCATGGGGACAGAGGCTCATGATCTAATCCTATCTTTAAGGTTCTACCTCTTAATACTGTTTCAATGCCTGTTATATTTCAACATAGGTTATGAAGAGGGCCATATAATTCCACCCCTGACCCCCAAAACTCATATTCTTCTCACATACAAAATATATTTATTCCATCCCATTAGTCCCTAGAATCTTAACTCATTCCAGCTTCAACTCAAAAGTACAAAGTCTAGAGTTTCATCTGAATAAAATATTGGTGAGACTCAAGGCATGATTCATCCTGAGGCAAATTCCCTCTAGCTGTGAAATCAAACCTGTTGTCTACTTCCAAAATACAATGGTGAGACAGGCACAGGATAAACATCCTCAATCCGAAAGGGAGATATAGGCAAGAATAAAGGCGTAACTAATGCCAAGTAAGTCCAAAACCCAAAAGGGTAAACAAAATTTAGTATGAAAACTGGTGAATGATCTCCATTGACTGCATGTCCCACTACCAGGTCACACTGCAGGTATAGGTTGGAGTCATGTGTGTAGCCTTCCCATGCTAGAGTTGCATGCTGGTGGTGGATATACTGTTCTAAGATCTCTGAGGTGACCTTGCTCTATGGCTCCACTAAATATTGCCATTGTGGGGAGTCTGTGTCATCTCTGACTTCACATATCCACTTGGCATTGCCCTGGTAGTGGCTCTCTGTGATGGTACTATCCCGCAATAGTTTTTGTCTGTGACATTCTTTGAAATCTAGGTAGGGGACATTATGCCTACACAACTGTTGCATTCCACATGCCTGAAAAATTAGCACCACATGGATACCATTCATATTTATGGTTTGTACCTTTCAGAGTGGCAGGTCAAGCCACAGCTGGACATGCATGAGCTGTGGCTAGAGTGGCCACAGAGCACTGTGCCAGAATTAAGGGAGCAGAAACCTCAGGTGGCTCTGGGGAATGAACAGGGCGGGTACGGTAGGCCCAACCACTAAAACTTTTCTGCCTTCCTGCAGCTCTGGACTTGTGATGGGAGGGGCAACCTTGAATGTCTCTGAAAAGCTTTCAGGGTCTTTCTCCTATTGTTTTTATGAAGACATAGTACCTGTCTTCCTTTTCTCTATACTTACCTTTCTATCAAATAGTCCTTTGATCATACCCTTGGTTTGCTCTACTAAAAACATCTTTTCACTCTTTACATGGTCAGGCTGTGAATTTTCCAAATCTTTTCATTCTACTTCCTTTTAAGTTATAAATTCTGTCTTTAAGCCATTTCTTTCCTCTCACATGTCACTGTATGCAGTTAAAAGAAGTTACCCAGCAGCCTAAATGGTGAATATTTTGCTGTTTAGGTATTTCTTCTACCAGATATCCTAATTTATCTCTCTTAAATTGTGCAATCCATAGACTCCTAGGATTTGGACACAATGATGCCAAGTTCTTTGAAATTATATTACAAAGATGGCCTTTACTCCAGTTTCCAATATCTTGTTCATTAGTACCATCTGAGATGTCATAGGAATGTTTCTATCAACATTCCAATCACATAGCAATCTTTAACAAGTTCGAGACTTTTCATACAGCTCTCCTCTTCCGACCTCTAACCGGGATCAGTCTTTTTGGTCTACTTCTGTCAATACAGCCTTTTTATATCCTACTTCTCCAATTTCTTCCAATCTGTATGCATTACCCAGTTCCAAAGCTGCTTCCACATTTTGAGGTATTTGTTATAGCAACAAGCCCACTTCTAGTACCCATTTTCTCTCTTACTCTGCTTTCTGCAGCTATAGCAGAATACCACAGACTAGATAATTTATTTAAAAAATAGAGATATATTTGTCTCACAATTCTGAAGGCTCAGAATTTCAAGATGGAGGGGTTGCACCTGGTCAATTGCCTTGTTGCTATATCATAAGACTGTGGAAGGCATCAAATAGGGAGAGTGCAAGAGACAGAGAGGGATAAAGGGGACCAAACTCCATTACAATGGATCTGATTTATTCATGAGGGCAGAGCTTTCATGACCTAATAACCACTTAAAGGTTCTACCTCTTAATATTGTTACAATGGCAATTAAGTTACAATATGAGTTTTGGAGGAGACATTCAAACAGTGGTTAATAATACTAACTCTAATTTGGCCTCCTGAGATAAATACTCAATTTAAAATAACCACATAGTGGCAAATGGAGCTACTAGGCCTGGAATTAAATACCGGCTCTGCTACTAAGTATCTATGTGAACTTAGGCACATTAATAAAGTTCTCTGATTTTTAATTTTTTATGTGAATGATGAGTCACCATATTGACCTCACTGTGTTGCTATGAACATTAGAGTCCATTGTCATGAAGGATGGTGTCTGTTCCTTAATTTTTATTAAGTAATCATTATTACTCAAGTAATAATGATCATTCTTACCAGGAATTACAGCAGTGTTTGGGTCTATAGGATGGCATTGTAACTGAGATTCTAGAATTATTTCTTTCAATCACATCCATATTTGTGTCCTTGCTCCTTTCACAAGCATTTCTATAGTAGCACATGTCCAAAGATGAAACAAAATGTTACTGTACTGTCAGCCGGCAGAATTTTCAATACCTCACTGGAAATTATGGTAAACACAGAGCTGACCCATGGCATCCAACAAAAATCTAAACTCCCTGCAAAAATTTAAAGCTTAGGATATGACTATATCAATATGGTTACATGGATGGAAGAATAAAGAAGAATGCTGAACTACCCAATCTCATAGAATGAGTCAGAGAGTGCTTCTAAAAACACAGTAAACTTGCCCACAAGTAAAGTGTTGTCTGTCAAAGAAAAATGTACTGTGCAGAGTTAAATGGGCAAGGAAAACTTTATTCAAGACTATTGCAATAAGGGTTAAAGCTATTGCAATAGGGGTGAGAGATTGAACTGAATTCTGCTTAAACAAAATGCAGAAGGATTTTCAAGTGCTAGTGTGAGCTCATGGAAAAGTGATGAAAGATTTGGGGAGGCAGGTTGACCAATGGTATTAGGCCATCTGTGTCTGCTAATTGGCACTTAATGGAAGTTAGGTTTCCCCATACTCACAGAGAAGGGAGAAGGGACACTATCTTCTATGAATATTATATTTCAAAGGGATGGCTCCCAGGTCCTTGAAAAAGATATTTTAGTGTTATGAAACTGGCAAAAGGCTCAGAAGATTTATGTCTCAAAAGGACTGAGAAATAGTTTATAATTGCAAGTTTTTACAAGTAAATGCTTTGAGAAATGGGAAGTCAGGGTCCCATAGTCAGCAAGAAACCTGTTGAAAATTTAGTCAAGTTGAGGAGAACTTTTTAAGTTTTAAGGCTGGCTTGTTCAGGTCTATGATTTTGACAAATCCAGTTCCTCTTTACTTATATCATGATGTATCAATGAAGTTTTTTTTTTTCCCCCACCATGGCATATTTTGTTCAGTACTTTATTCGCCATATAAAGCTCTGTAATTGTCCATTTATTCTTTTTATGAATAAGTGTCTTTCTAATTTAAAAATAATTTTTATTGTATAAAAGTATTATACCTAAACTAAGTGAGAGAGAATAAAATTTACCAACTACTCAAAGATAATTACTGTTTGCATTCTGTTGAATTTGTCTACCCCATCTTTTGCTAGTTATACACATTTTTTGTTTTTCAAAAGTGGCAATCATAATTGTAATATCCATTATCACCTGCTTCTTTACATAGAAGTGTGTTATAAATATTGTTCTGTTATTATTTTACTTTCCATATTTTATTTCCATTTCTTGTTCCTCATTTTTGATGAGCAATTTGATTTTATTTTTTTGCTGTGGTCTATTACGCTGGGTGTTCTTCCCCCTCTTATGCCATCTTCTGAGTTCCCTCATCCTTTCTTCTGTTTCTTGCTGCACAGAAGTCAGCCCTTTCCCCCACAATGTCTCCAGCCCTTGGATCCAGTCTTTCGCTCCATATTGTTATGTCTGCTTTGAATCTACTTGTCTCACTCCTACTTACTGCTTCTCTGCCCAGATTCTTCTGAGTAAAACTTGTGTTGAACTGTCTGCTTGGTTTTCATGGGACATTATCTTTCAGAACTTACACATTACAGCTTTTGACCGTGTGCTACACCAATCCAAGGCAAGCCTAGGCTTCCTGTTATAGAATAGGGAGTCCAGGTCCATACAGGAAATTAACAATCGCTTCCCATCACTACTCTTCCAATTTGATGCCAGTTCTACAACACTCTTTTCGGCCAGTTGACACCTTGCCTTCGAAAGAACAAATCCTTGGTAAATGTGTGGTGTAGGCACTGAGTGGTCAAGTTATCTTCTTTCCCTTTCCTTCTGGGTTTTCTGGTACTATGCTTTAGAATGTTGAGGAGGGACAGTATGCACCACCATGGTGCCAGTGTGGAGGCTGAGAGTACTTTCTTGTATTATGCAGATCTTCGTGAAATCCTTGTCCTGGCCTTAATCATAGCACATGGCGATCATTGACTGTGTGTAAGGCAATAGAGGTAACTCCATGACTGTTAAAACTGAGTCAGGCAACTAATTCTATGTTCATTTCTGTGTTATTAATGTAAGAATTAAAAATTAACTGCTTAAATCCTCACTTGACTAGACTTCATGGACAGGATTCATTTAGGTTATAAATGACACCTAAAATTGATCACTCTAAATTTAGTTAAATATTTTTAGTAGAGGTCATTTCCCTTGGTTTATATATATGTTACATATACTTAGGCAATTGGAATTTTTATTTGGATGTCAGAATATTCAAACATGTGTAGTAAAATACTTTCTTATTTTTCTGCATCATATTTTATGTATGTGATATATTATGTTTATAGTTTTATGCTACATATAATTGTAACATTTGTTAAGCAACACAGATACAGGTAGCTTTTTTAGATTCCTGGAGGGTTTTTGCTTGTTTTTTTAAAATTGTATAATCTATTACCATATTATCAGAAAAGTTACCTGGCATTTTTTAAAAAGATATCAAAAGTGACTAAAAACATAGCTTAGAATCAAGAAAAAAAAAGAAGACCACATATAAAAATTAGATGCTTGTAAATTATAATTTTTTTCTGAATCTCTGAATATTTATGTTTATCCATGGACAATTTACTTAAACATACATGCGCCAGTTTTGAGCACTACCTTTTAGGTGAAAAATGTGTACAAATATTAAATGTAAATTTATATAAATATTAAAACTAACCATAGGTATTTAAATACTTGCGCTTTAAAAAAGGAAAATGAGTACTAAAATGGAAAGATGTGTTAAGATGTAAGTCAAAATATATAACTAGTATTTTAAAAAGTTAAGATACTATCTAGTTTATTTGTATGTGTTCTCACATATCATGATTACTCCTAAATTGTACTGGCATGTCTTTATGAAAAGAAAGAAAACTAATTTTTACCTGCAACTGCGTTGTAAATAATTAATTTTCATTTGTAGCTTGAGCTATTTTTAGGTGACATTGTACCCTCAAACTTTGACTGTAAATTTCTAATTTGGTTATCCTATTTTCTCACTATGCTTAGCTATTTGAAACCCATGATATTGGTGAGCAATCACAAGATTCCTTTGGTAACAATTTGTTGATTTCTGTTAATTTTAAGGTTGTCTAGGAGGGACGACTTTATATATTTCCCACTGGATTTCCCTAAACACATTTTTGCCCAAAGACTCAGCATTCTGAGAGGGATTAGAGTTTGCGATTTGTGAAAAAAATGTTTCACATGGATGAGGAACAAGCCACTTTTTGAAAGGACAAACTTTCCTCTTTAATTTGTTGAATTTTACTTGTGCTCAAATTTAGCACTGCTTTAATAATCAGTAATTCTAATCATGCAGTAATTCTGTACACATCAAAGGTCTGGCTGTTAGTGTGAATGCGGCATAATGCAAGCTGGTTACTTAAGGGCAGTTAAACTTTCTTCAGCATGTACCGTATAATATAGGCAATAAGCATTTGTTTTCCTTTCAAAAGCAGCAGTTAATTATTATAAATGTCAAATTTGTAACTGTCATAGTTATTTTGCTCCCAAATCATTTCAGCATATCAGCTTTCCGATGGCATATTTGAACACTAAAGTTATGATACATTCTTTGAGAGGAAGTCCTCACATATAAAATTGCCAATCCATAGTCTTATGGCTTCAGTCTATTAAGTGATAGGAAGTTACAAACTGATAAACTTATTTTAATATTATTCAACAGATAAAAATTGTTTACTTAGAAATTTTAACACAGAATGTAGGTAATAAAATTCATTTAAAACAGTTTTAATTAAGCATTTTTACTTACTTTTCTTGGAACACATCATGCCTACATAAAATATAATGCCTAAAATAGATGATGCCTGTCAAACACTTTAAACATTACATCTATTACATGGTAAAAATCTTATGATTAACATAAAATCTGAGAGGCATTAGATATTATTTAAATCTTTACAATGTGTCTTACTACAAAAATTAACTAATGAGATGCTTAGTATTTAAAATTAGGCTATATATATTTATGTGATTCTCTATTGCTTAAGACTTGTATTGAATGCTGTGTGCATATTTTTGAAAACAAAAGATTGCTAGAAAATAGATGTATAAGCATAGAACCACGTAGAGAAGAAGAGGCACCCCTTCCTCTTGTGGTCATAGCCTCCTACCTGGGGCACAGTGTCGGGAGCCAGCACCTGTCAGGGCATAACATGCAACCATTCTAGGAAGCTTTGCTTAACTCTGATGTGAGAGAGGGACTGAAGACTATGTTAAGGAAGATGAAGTAATAATAGAAAATGTGGAGTTGGTGTCAAGTGGGTGTTAGAGGGAAGAGAAAGGGAAGTTGCCATCCTGGTGTAAGGCAGAAGAGCAGTGAGACCATTGAGAAGTGAGAGGAAGTGAGAGAAAGTGATGGGAAATAAGCTGGGAATTTTTGTGAAAAACAGGCTAAAGGTTTAGTAACAGTATCAATAAAAACCATTCATAGCATTGGCGTTTGGACTTTAGCTCATTTGATCTACATAGAAATCATGTGAGATGTCGACCTAAGAATACTCAGCTAAAATATTACAATGTATGAACTGCCATTCAGCTCATACATTGATCTTTATCTAGATTATAGATAAAGCTCTTTTTTGACAATGTGCCACTGACTTTCAGTAAATTCTCTAGAAATTGAGTTATTACCTTAAAGGTAGTAACAAGGGTCTAAGGTAGTAACAGAGATGGTAAAGGGAAGGATCCGGGATATTTGGCCCCATGCAGAAAAGTATAACATTTATGTTTTCCTGATCTATGTGCACACTTTCAAGACCTCTGTCTAAATTATCTCTTGTGCTAGTAGGGTTCTACATGGAAACAGATGGCATGGAAAAAAGTGGTAATTTGGACAGAGTTTAATAAAAAGACCAACTACAAAAATGTGGGCAGCATTTAGGACAAGTAGCAAAGGATGTTGAAGTAATTCAGAGCCAGTAACAGCAGAGGATTATGCCTGAAAGAATAAGGAGAAAGAATACTGAAAATCAGACAGATAGCTACAGGGAAAGAAAGAGATGTTGAGGGTTGCAGCTCTCAGTCAAGGGACACAGCACTGGAAGGACATACACTTGTACATGATCTGACAGGGAGCTGTGGAGATAAATACCTCATCCAGCTCACTCTCCATCTTCTATTTCCCCTGCGGGTCTGTCTCATTGGCAAGACCAATCTAGAGCCAGAGGGAAGGGAATTCTATTGACACAGTTCAAATAAGTAAGTCTCCCAGGCCTCAGAGCAGTGAATATATGAACACAATAAAGATCATGTATGACAAGCCCATAGCTAACAAACTCACCAGTGAAAAGTTGAAAGCTTTTTTTCCTAAGATCAGAAACAAGAGAAGGACGCCCACTCACAACACTTCTATTCAACATAATATTGGATGCCCTAGCCAGAGCAATTAGGCAAAAGAAAGAAATAAAAGGTATCCAAATTGGAAAGGAAGAAGTTAAATTGTCTTTTTTTGCAGATGATGTAATTTTTTTTTTTTTTTTTGAAATGGCGGTTCGCTCTTATCACCCAGGTTGAAGTGTGAATCTTGGCTCACTACAACCTCTGCCTCCCAGGTTCAAGTGACTCTCTCTTGCCTCAGCCTCCCAAATAACTGGGATTACAGGCACCTGCCACTATGCCCAGCTAATTTTTGTATTTTTAGTAAAGATGGAGTTTCAGAAAACCTTAAATATTCCTCAAAAAACTGTTCAAACTCAAAAATGAATTTAGTAAAGATACATGATACAAAGGCAATATCCAAAAGAGAAATCAAGAAAATAATCCAATTTACACTTGCTACAAAAAATAAAATACTAATTTAACCAAGAAGGTGAAAGATATTTGCACTTAAAACTTTAAAACATTAATCTAAGAAATTGAAGAAGACACAAGTAAATGGAAAGATACCTGTGTTTATGGATTAGAAGAATTAATATTTTTTAATATTCATACTACCTTATTTACAGATTCAATGCAATCCATTCCAATGATGCTTTTCAAAGAAATAGAAAAATACAATTCTAAAATCCATATGAAACCACAAAAGACCCCGACTAGCCAAAGCAATCTTGAGCAAAAAGAACAAAGCCAGGGCCATCAAATTATCTAATTTGAAAATTTACCACAAAACTGTAGTAATCAAAACAGCATACTGCTGGCATAAAAATACACATGTAGGCCAATGGAACAGAATAAAGAGCATGAAATGAATTCATGCATTTATGATCAATTTGTCCTTGACAAAGATGCCGAGAACACACAATGGGGAAAGGACAGTTTCTTCAATAAATGGTGCTGGGAAACCTAAATACCCACAGGAAGAAGAAATAAATTAGACCCTCATTTCACACCATGTACAAAAATCAACTCAAAATGAATTAAAGACTTAAATGCAAGACTCTGAAACTCTATTACAAGAAAACTTGGAGGAAAAGCTTTGTGACATTGATCTGGGAAAATAATTTTGGAGTATGATCCCAAAAGTATAGGCAATGAAAGCAAAAAAAAAAAAAATAGACAAGTGGGATTACAGCAAACTAATCAAACTAAAAAGCTTCTGCACAGGCAAGAGAACAATCAGCAGAGTGAAGAGACAACCTAGGGTTTGAGAGAAAATATTTGCAAACTGTATGTCTGATAAAAGGTTAGTGTCCAAAATATAAAAGGAACTCAACTCAATAGCAAGAATACAAATAACCTGATTAATAACGGACAAAAGATTTAAATAAACATTCCTCAAAAGACATACACCTGGCCATCAGGTATGTGAAAAATGTTCAACATCACTAATCTTCAGGGAAATGCAAATTAAAACCACAATTAGATATCACTTTACACTGTTAAAATGGCTAATATAAAAAAATTGAGTGGTAGCAAGTGTTGACAAGGATGTAGAGAAAAGAGAACCCTTTTTAAATGTTGAAGGAATGTAAATTAATACAGTCATTATAAACAACAGTATGAAGATTTCTCAAAAGATTAAAAATAGACCTGTAACATGATCCAGCAATGCCACCATTGGATATATATCCAAAAATATGGAATCAGTTTGGTGAAATATATCTGTACTCTGAAGCATTATTCATGTTCACTGAAGCATTATTCACAATAGCCAAGATATGGAATCAACTTGTGTCAATTAACAGATCAATGGATAAAGAAAATGTGAGATATATATAATGGAATACTGTTCACACTTTAAAAAGAAAATCCTGTCACTTTTGACAACAGAGATCAACCTGGAGAACATTATGTTAATTGAAATAAACCAGGCACAAAAAGACAAATACCACATGATTTAACTTACATGTGGAGTATAAAAGTCAAACTCAGAAACAAAGAATAAAATGGTGGTTATCAGAGGATAGGGGTGGGTGAGAGGATTGGGGAGATGTTGGTCAAATCACATAAAATTTCATTTGGATAGGAGCAGTTAGTTTAAGAGATTTGTATTACATTGTGGTGACTACAGTTAATAACAATACATCCTATAATTGAATATTGCTAAAAGAGTAGATTTTAAATGTTCTTGCCACAAGAAAACAATAAGTGTTTAAGGAAAGGCATATGATTTAGCCATTCCTAGTGTAGATATATATCAAATATGTTTTAAACCATAAACATGTACAGTTTATACTTGTCAATTAAAAAAATTAACAAAATACAAAATATTAATTCATACAGTATTTTGTTAATATATTAATTAACAAAATATTTATTCATACAGATCATATATGAATGTATTATATATATCATAGTAGATATGTTTGTATAGGCATTCTAAATTTCTTAGTAGACAGGCATTATATTTTGTATCTAGTTTTAGCTGAACAAGTACCTAGCACACTAACCTTTCATTAAATACTTATTAAATAATTATAAGTGAATATATTCAAGGTGGATAAATTAATGTATTCAAGATACTAGAGTAAGTAATGGAATTAATTTCCTAAGATATCAATTGAAATCAATATTATTAGCAAATAGTCACAATTTGTATATTTTATATACCATAGAGTGAAAATATTCATTTAGTTCATTTCTCCAGCATACATACAGTAGGATTCAAACATATTATGTCGAGGATATCAAGTGAGCTAATCATTAGTTATTTTTGTAATAGTAATCATTAGATATTTTTGATTTTCCTTCTTCTGTGCGCTTGCTATTACGCTTCTCTACTCCCTTAAATTAGGCATGGTCATGCAACTTACTTTGACCAACAAAATATGAAAATAAGCAACACTGAATTTTTCTTAGTAGAAGCACTTAGGAGGCAGCGGTCAATTTGCCACCTTTCTTTGCCTTTTGCCCTGGCAGTTTATGATGACGCTAATTGTAAAGCCTTCTTGAAGGTGAGCAGTGTAGAACAGAGCCCCTGCCTACCTGACATGGCACATGCTACCTGGCTTTCTGATGATACACAATTTCTTCCTTGTAAATTAGAGACAAAATGAGACCAACCACATAAATATGTGAAGATTTAATGCACTTAACAAAGTGATTGGCACATAATGAGTGTGCAAACATTATTTTTATAATTTTTATTAGCAATATTACATAGGTTGTAATAATTTCATTGACAGAGATGATAATAGATTGGGCAGTGGGGTTGGGCACAGCTAACCTAGAGAAGGCAGGAAAGAACTACAGGCTGAAGTGACCTGCAAACTCCCCTGGGCTGTCAGAACAGGGATGCCCTGGCGATGTGTAAAGATTCTGTATTGCTGACCTTTCCAATTCATATCCCATTATGTTTTCAGTCTTTAAACATTAAGGAGAATCTAAGTTTACTCATCAAACCTATAAATAGAGTGAGGGCATAAGCTAATTCAAGCCTGCAAAGCAGAGGCAAGGGACAATTAGCAGGGCTTTAAGTATAACCATCATGTGTAAAGGCTGCCTTGTCCCTGGTGATTAAAGTACATTTCTAACTCTGCTGAATACATTTTTGTAGTATGAGAATTTGTCTGTCTAAGTGCTTATGGGTGTATTTTTATGCCTTTCAATGCAATATCCTAATGCAGATTCAGGATATATTGGAATAGGAATAAAAGAATGAACATGAGTTGCAACTCATCTCAGTACCTTATATGA